CTTTATGAAATTGAATGCGAAGAAAAAATTATCCTCTCAAAGAAATATTATTGCATTGATGAAAATAACTTGGTCTATAATTGTGATTATGGTGATAATTGATAGATTGAAGTAGTATAGATCAATTATAATGGCACCTAAAATTATTTTGATGAAAGACAAAAGTATTTGTATCTTTGTCAATAAGCCTCTGAATATGTTTGATAATTTCTTAATGAAAAGGAATATTTTAAGTTTATAGTAGGTTGTTAGTTTAATATTATCCAAAACCATCTACTTGGTGATGTTTTTGTCTGAGAGAAGATTGAAGATTGTATACCACATTACAACTGGTTGAAGGAGAAGAACTCCAATATCTTTAAGAATGTCGATTGTTTACTTCATTTTTTTCAAGTATTCATCTATAAACATCATCTATATTTTTTTGATATTAAATAATTTTTTAATTAAATGAATATAATGGAGATTATTATTGGATTTGTATCTTCACTTGAGATTATTGCAGCACTTGTATGAAACAAAAAAAAATCATTATTTGAAGAGTGGTGTTATACTGTAATTACTTATAATGTATAAAAATTAGTTGGAACATATGATATGTTCATAAGTCTTAGTATGTGTTAGAATAATTAATAGATTAATTTAAAGGCAGTAGATATAAGAAACTTTATTTTAAATTTTATCTATTTTGATTATAGCATTTTAAAAATTATAGGACCTAAATGTTTAGTATGAATCCTTGAGAGGAGATTAGAGCTTAAAGATGAAAATCTAAATTAATAGGAAGCTTATTGGGAGGAATGAAAGCAAGGCAGAGTCAGATGAAGGTAAGAAATGGAGATCTTCATCCCTATTCGTCAAAGGCCAAGCCCAATGGACTTCAAGGAGGCTTCTCGAGGCATTATTAGGAATTATGGTTTTTTGTTTTTAATTCATTTGAGCTTTGGAGGCTACGATCAGCAAGTTTAGATTTTTAGATAAGGATTAAGTGTAAATTTTGTGTGATTTGGATTTTTTATGAAGGAGTTATTAGAGCCTAAAGTTAAAGTGTTAATTTCATATCTACTATCACTATTTGGAATATAACATATGTTTATAAAGAGCAACAAAAGATCGGCTACTAAGGTTGGAGAGAGCACTTCCTCGACTATACTTTTTATATATTATTTGATAAAGTTGGAGTTTAGATGAAGAAATTATAGAGAGTTGAAGTCACTGCATCCAAATCAAAGGCAATAAGTAAGTGATTTTATTCATAGTAATAGTTGGAGTCATATCTTAAGTTTTTGAATAATTTTTTAGCTTAAAACTTTTGGAGAAGGTAATTGCTCCTAAAAGTATTATATATATATATATATATATATATATATATACTTGGTCTTTCTTATCTCAAGACTTGATTGAGCAATTAGCTGCAGCTAGGAGCCCAATGCTTTCTTGAGGCAAATTCTCTCTACCTTGACAATGGTGTGCTTGGTATTTTTATTGATGATACTTCAGACTTGCTCATGACTTTTTTTTTAAGATGTCGAGAGTGGTGGAATGGTTTGTACAAACCATTGTATTGAAGCACATTCTTGAGATGGAAGGCCCATATTTTGTAATTATCTATGCCAGTTAGGTGATATGACTTTGGAAGTATGTATAGGCCTTGTGGTGAGCTAGAGACCATTGTATTGGAAATGTAATGTGGTGGAGGGGAAGAAGTATGATTATTCTTTCTACCCAGTTGTATGTTGCTAATCATAACTTCAAAGTCAGACCCTGAGTTTGATATATTCTATCACATAGAAGAAAGGATCTCATGACTACTCACAGTCGATGCTCTAACACCATGAAGAAAGTTGGGTATAGAGAGGTGTTGTGCGAAGCACTATGCACACAAGAACAGTGTGTCCATTGAGTGGAGGGAATTGTAAGTTCATTGATCAAAGAGGAAACATACAAACAAAGTACTGTGATGGGAACTCTTGGGATCAATAGGGAACAGTGTTCTCATGTTGAGAACAGTATCGAAGAAGGGTGCTAACCCTGAGGGTACGAGAAGCGGCTAAGAGATCTACGTACACCCTGTAAAGCTCAGCTTGTGGGGGCAGCTTCTGGGGAATATTTAGCTCTGTTCTTCAAATAAAGGAAATCCGTTCGTGGTCCGTTTCCAATCCTTGCTTGCATCTGAAATCCAATGCTAACCATTTCCCATTTCGCAGCCTAATCTGGGGCAGAGCTGAGGAGAAAAATTAGGGTTAATATATCCAAATGCTGGTGGAGGTGAGCCAGGCTTAAAATAACTCTCGCTATTGCTATTGCTATTCGATTCAAACCCCAATCATCCGTCCCTAAGAAATGCTGCTTTAGCCAGCCCTCTTCTCGTTGCCCTTCGGTGGAGCTCACGTTCCCCGCTTCGAATGCAAGGCACCCTTAAAAAGTATTATTTATGTTTCGCTCATGTAACGATTATCCGACCGTTAATGGCAGCTCCGCTGCAAAAGGTTTTCAAAACGTGTCTCAATTCGTTTTGTTTTGTATTTTTTAATGCTTCGCATCCACAACAGTTGTTTTCAGGGAACTTGTTACGTCTCACGTGTAGTTTTGGCTACTAGGGCATGGCTCTGCTCCCCTTGCTGAAAACCCTAAAAACCATCAAAGCCCCCCCTTGGGATGGGGGGTTTCTCGGGTGTGATTGATTTTGTATGATGGGATAGATCTAATCCGTATAATGTCAGAGAATAATGTGCACCTGTGTCTTGTCTAGAAGACCCCAATGAAGACATTGGTTTCTGATTGATTTGTAAACCATTTCTTAGCAAGTTACATTTTTAAAGTTGGTCTTTCAACAAATCATTAGGAAGTATTTTTCTTCTGTACCTGTTCCTTATATCTTTTCCTCTATTCAGCGCAACACATGTAAAAATAAAATAAAATAAAATGAAACAATAATTTGATTTGTATTGATTTATTTTCAATGAGAATTTGTTTTTTTGTTTATTTTTATTTTTATTTTTATTGCATGTCAAACTTGAAAGTCATTTGGGAATCTTCATATTCACAATAGTAATCATAATGCATGAGTTACATGCATACAATGAGATCATTTTGATTCAAGTTATGATGAGAACAGACAATGTATTGGGTTGAAATTAGACCAGTTTGGTGAAGATGAATGAATGCTCATGATGCTTGGATGGCCTAAATTTTTTTAATGTATGCTAAGAACATTTAATATATGTTTATGGATATACAAATATCAAGAAATTTCCATACTTATTGCAGGCTCTAAGATGAAACACTTGTCCACTTAAAATTTCACAGTTATTTAATTACTTCAAATAAACAATGAATCTTTTTTTATGTTAATATTGCATAACAAGTTGCATTCATTTGAACATTGATGGTGGAAGGAAAAGGTTTCAACTTTTGGTTTGGTGTGAGCAATCATTGACAGCTGTCTTAAAGTCTACCATTTTAACAACAATAGTTGAAGCAATTAACATAAATGTTGTAGAAGCGAGTGAAATTACATTGATATATTATGTAATTTTCCTAAATACATTGCTAAATTACAAGAACATTGGAGTAGGTTTAGATAAATTATTAGCTTCTAGACCTTTCATTCAATTACAAAAACATAGTTCATTGAAACATTTCTTTAAAAGAGGATGAATTTTATTCTAATCCCCGTCCAAACATATACTAATAATTGTCTTCCTTGTATAGCTTCAAAAGAACAAAAAAACAATTTTATGAAGTAAAATTTCCCTCCACATGTACATTGACTTAAAAGCATGTCAAGCACAAGTACTAAGTAGTATACCTATATTGTACACTCACAAATTATATATATATATATATATATATATACATATATATATTTTTGCAGGTTCACTTCTATATTTATGACTGTTGACTTTTAAAATTGTTATAACATTCTTATGATTCATCAAGCAACATATAATGTTATAAAATATTTGCATTTAACATATTTTAGAAGGCATTCAAGGAAAAAGGTGATTTTTTCTTAGAAGTGAAAGATCACTCATTTCAGTGCTTCCCACTAACAATTCAAACTCTGCGTTAATAAAAAAAAAAAAAAAAAAAAAAAATGCCTTCTTAAGTAGCAACAAATTTCATGTGAAATCTTTTGTAATACATTTTGATATTATCTACATATGGCCAGCTATTTTGACAAGTTTAGTTGTATAGTTGCAACTCTAATTCAACTTCTCATTGAACTCCCAAAATGCCATATTGAAGGTCACATTCATTTTTCCTGCCCCAAAATAAAGTAGTTCTCAACATAGGAAACCCTTTCTCACTCCTACACAATTCAATAGCCACATTGCAGGTTTCCCCTTTAACCACAATGAAGTTAAAACCCAACTCCAAGCAAGCGCAGCCCATCTTCCCCTCTCCCCCCATTACCACCACCATTACCACCACCACCACCACCACAAATTTGTGTCAAAAACATCAATGCCATCGCTGAGTTTTCAAGCTCTAGCACGTGTCTATTACCACAGAGCCCTGCCCTCACACTGTCCAAAACCCACACCCAGCACATACAATGCAGAAAAACACAGAGAAATCCAACTGTAAGTAAGTATTGCCACTGCAAATGGCAACCCTATCAACCCATTGCCGTGACCCACAGTTATTTCGGATACTACTGTGCGTGATCATTGAAGTGGAAGGGAAGGGAAGGAAAGTTAATAACTGAGAGGGGGGGAGATGAAGGAAGATTGCTTGCACGAGGAAGCTGGACACCCAGTTTACAGCTGGTGGCAGTAAAGAATCTGCTGTGTTACTTGTGCGTGGCGCTCAGGGCCCTTTTACTGAACACCCAATATGCCACAACAGAAACTGAGCATCAGACAGACAGACAGACAGACAGACAGATCGATCGATCGATCGTTCGAGGCATGAATGGACGGAATTCCGCTCTGGCACCACGACAATAAGCCAGCAGAAGCAGCAGTAGCAGTTTAGCAGTAGGAACGTCGGGCGCCCCCTTGCTCACTCACTCGCTTGCGTGCTTGCTCCTGGAACCACGAAGTCTCACACTCCATTATTACGGCCATCCGGGGCACAGTTCATCAGAGTTTTTTAGTCCACAGAGCCATCCGTCCACTCAGCAAGCAAGAAAGATCCCACCGTTCCACACCAGCAGCCAGACTTTCATGGCTGCTCTGATTCATCACCGCAACCGCGTCTCCTCTCGCGCGCAAGCTTTTGCGTCTTTTCTCTAGTTCGTTGTGTATATAGTCAAGGCTGCGTTTACTCTTCAACCTTCTCTCCGTCTCCCCCACGTTTCGGTACCCTGTCCTCTCACATAACCCACGTCTAGACTTGCAGGATTGGTCGTTGGATGGTTTTGGACTGCGCCCCAGCTGGGCGGTTTCGTTGTGCGAGAGGAGATCGGTTGCTGTGAGAGGCGAATGCTCGCCGGCTGGGTTGGTCTGAGACCATGCAGGGATGGATTGAGTGGTCGCGTGAGTTTGAATGTAGTTCCAGAAAGGAGTTGGTCGTGAATGGAGAAGCGACACAAGTTTCTGGAAGGTGAGATCCAGGTGTAGCGGGGATTCCAGAAGGCGCAGCATGGTTTAGGTTTGCAGTTCAATCTTGCGTTTCTCACGTGCGGTATATGGATTATTTCGCGGATTGAAGCTGCGGATTGGTGGAGCTCCAGAACCTAGGATTGCAGGTTCCTGCGACAATACGCTGGATTGACTTCCAGGTACCGAACTTTGCACTATCCTTGAAAAAGAGACCGTGGCGTGCACGTAGATCTACGCTGTAATGCAAGTTTTGTATTTCGTATGGCTTTGAAGAGCTCGGTGGGCCGCACTGTGCAACCGAGTGTCTTGTACTTGCAGAAATAGAGGTGGCTTCTGGGCATGCCATCTAAATCCTCTCCCTCTTTTCCCCATCTTCTGCTCATCACGGAGCGTCAACAAACCGCTTTGCAATTGTAACTGTATTATCTAGTCGCTGAAGTGAATCCGATTTCGATTCATTGGTCCATTAGTGACTCCCTTGGACCTGGAACGTGGAATCTTTCCGTGGTCTGTTGAGTCACAGCTGTATTCCTGATACGCCGCATAGAGTGTGATGTCTCTCTCGCGTCAGAGCACACCAGCTGTAAACACTTAACGTTCTAATCACGCTATTGGTCGTCGATCGTTCCGTCGCCTACCATCGCTGTGGCCAGAGTCTATATAGACAAGAGCGTGCTACTAACTCTCTTTCTTCAGTTGTGCACCTCGCACTGTCAGTTAGTGTCTTAATGCGAATCTGTTCGGAACACGGTACACCGCAGCACTGTCCACAAGGACGATTAGTTGAGTGAGGTATCGGATACAAAAGCCTTTCTGACGACTTGACTTGCATTGGAGTAGGATTCTCATCTAAGAAATTAGTCGCAATTTCATAGAAACGGAGCAATCGTAGTCGGGTAAGTGATTGCGGGAATCACTTGACATTTCAAAACCTGGAGAGCCTGGCTTATTCCTTTCCTCGTGAAATTTTGTGGCAGTGGGGCAAGGTATTTTGTGATTGGAAGTTGCTAAATGGCCTGCCAGGCGGAGAGCAAGTCTGTGCCTACGAGTACCTACGATAGGCACGGCGGCATGTACGCCGGGAAGCTTTCGGGTAACGGAAAAATCGACCGATTTCAGGGATGGTCACGGTTCAATGCCAGTACCCTGAATGATGCACGCACCGGAAGCTTCTCCACTGGCAAGGAGGACGACCTCAACTACAAAAATCTTTACAATCTTGCGGGTGAGAATCTTTCCGGGACCCGGAAAACAGAAACTCAGTTGCGAGAAATGTTGAAGAAGAGCAGCAGCGGCTCCAAAGTTGCTAGCTCCCTTCCTTCCAGAGCCCCAATTCTGCATTCGGAGAACAACAAGGGAAATCCCCAATCTACAAAACCTGAATCTGCGAAATCACTTCCACGGGGTGATAACTCCGACGCCGCGAGAGTAGGAAATGTGGAAGCCAGCAGCGCTCCACGCGCTCGTCATGCCCGAAGCTCATCCTTTGCGCCACCTCATGGCGGCTACTCTGCCAAACCACCAAGCCACACATCGTCAACATCTCCTCTGACCGCACATTCTGCTCCCAAGAGTCCACCTGCAGACTCTTTCAGACAGGTTCCGGAAGTTGCAGATGCGGCTGTCAGACGTCACAGCACCGAGGGCGTCAGGTTTCATCGACGGGGAAGCTCCGACATGCCTGCACTTCAAGGGGAGGCAGCTGATTTTTTCAGCTCCGATAGTGCCCTCAAATTGGGGCCTGAGATGAGACGACACTCTCTCGGTAATGTATCTTTCAAAGGCGGTTCTTCTGGGATGAAGATGAAGATGGCCGCCAGTCCCGAGAATGGCAGCACAAGCTCCCGTGGGAGCTCTATAGCTGGTAGTCCCACTGTTGCCCGCACAAGCAGCTCCGAGAATTTGTACGCCAGTGGTGGCTCTGCTCCTTGCAGTAGCTCAGCATCTAGCGGCATCTCACATCACTCACAGAGTACAAGTTGCAACGTTGGCAATTTATTTGGTGCCACCTCCAGTGGCTCGTACACAGGTGGAGGCCTAAACACAGGTACTATCTCCCTTACACAACCTACGCAATCGATTGATTTTGTGCTTAATTGTGGTTCCCGGTAGATAATCCTGACACTTTCTGACTTTTTCCTGTATATTGATCTGGCTCTTTGGGACAGTGACGCCACGGTTGTCCTCATGCAAGACAACGATTCCAGTAGTTGCGCCACCGGCGCCTGCTTCCAATGGCAGGATGATGTTTGGAGGAGGCTCCATAAGTGGCAATATTAGCAGAGGAGTACTTAGAGCCCAATGCGACCCCCCACGAGTTTCCTCCGACGCGTTCATTGGCTCAAGAGGCAACGGCCACAAACTTGGAGATGGTTTGGACATTAAAAAAATTCTTTCTAGCGGCGATCCAGAAGAAGTTAAGAGAGTTGGCAACGAGCAATATAAGAAAGGAAACTTTCAGGTGGCGCTTACTTTGTACGACAGGGCGGTGCAGTTGGCGCCACACAAGGCTCCGTATCGAAGCAATCGCGCTGCAGCGTTGACAGGGCTGGGCAAGCTTCCGGAATCTGTGAGGGAATGTGAGGAAGCGATCAAACTTGATCCTTCTTACTCCAGAGCTCATCAGAGGCTTTCCTCGTTGCTCTTGAGGTTGGGACGCATTCAGGGCGCGAAGAAGCACGCGGAATTAGCTGGTCAAGTGAGTGACGGGACGGGGCTCCAACGGATTGAAAAAGTGGAGAAGCATGTGACGAAGTGTTTTGAGGCTAGGAAGGCGGGCGACTGGGAGACAGTCGTGAGGGAGAGTGATGCTGCTGTCATTGCCGGAGCTGATTCAGCGCCTCAGGTTTGAAATTCACAACCCCGCCTGCGAAGAAATGAAACCCATATTTCTCAGAAGCTTAATTCTTATATAAATTGCGGTCCGGGTTCTCACACCTGATCTGTGGTTGTCTTTATTTATTTATTTATTTATTTTATTGCAGATGTTTTCTTTGAAAGCGGAGGCATTCCTGAAGCAGCAGAAACACGATGAGGCAGACGCAATTCTTTTAGCTGCTCAGAAAATAGAGGATTCTTTGCGCAAGTTCACCAGCTTGCCAGCTGACATCACCACGCTTCTTACGCAAGTGCAAGTCGACATGGCTCTTGACAGGTATAGGACAACATTCTCTTAGTTTCAGTCCGCTCTTTCTGGGTCTGTCTTCTGAGGAGCGCCAAACGATCCTTGTGGCACTAACATGCGGCCTCTTGAGCAGATTTGAAGCGGCAGTAATTGCAGCAGAGAAGGCAGCTTCCCATTACCCCAAGAACGCCGACGTGGGGCTTATGTTGAGACAAGCCCGTGCGGTAGCGAATGCACGAATCTTGGGGAATGACCTGTACAAAGCAGGAAAGATACTCGAGGCCTCGGTTGCGTACAGCGAAGGGCTTCAGTACAATCCAAGCAATGCCGTTTTGTTATGCAATCGGGCGGCCTGCAGGATCAAGCTGGGTCACTACGAGAAGGCTGTGGAGGACTGCACGTCTGCGTTAGAAGCCCAACCCAATTACCTTAAAGCACTTCTGCGGCGAGCGAAATGTTTTGCTAAGATGGAAAGATGGGATAAGGCAACGAGGGATTATGAGACACTTAAGAAGGAAATGCCCGGAGATCTGGAAATTGCTAATGAGTTGTATGAAGTGCAAGTTGCACACAAGAAGGCCAAGGGTGAAAAGGTGATCATGTCCAAAAACGGTGGTGAAGTTGAGGAAATTTCCAGCAGTGATCGATTGAGAGAGGTCATCTCACAACCAGGTAAGCATCACATCTTAAACTCATCGCTTCTCGAGTGATTTCTGGAGTTCTACGTGGAGCCTGGTGCTGTGTTCCCTTGAAAATGTTAGTGTAATTACTTCTTGTGCCCGTTCAGGTGTTTCGGTGGTTCAGTATAACACAAAATGGAGCGACAAGTGTAGGCAAATGGCAGCTTATGTAGATCAGCTGTGCAAGTTGCATCCTTCCGTCAACTTTTTGAAGGTAGGTTTTTTAAATTACCCTCTAATATACAAACTCTCTCCTGGATGCATTGCACACTGACCAGGTTTCCACCGTTACTAATCAATGTCCAGTACCCTGATCAGTTGCTGTGGAACACTCTCTTGCAGGTGGACGTAGAAGACCATCCCTATCTCGCCAAGGCTGAGGGAGTGAGTTTCGTCCCTACTTTCAAAATCTACAAGAACGGATTCAAAGTGAAGGACATCATTGGACCTACGAATCAAGCGCTGGAGACGGCCGTCACCCATTTTAGCCTATAATCTGCAACGGTGAACTGATTCATTCTCTCTATCAACAGCAACAAATAAATCTAAAGAATTCGAGGTACTACTACTACCGCACGCTGATCAATCTATCAATCTCAGAACCGACTAGAGCAACCTCACGTAAATAGGAACCAACCCATTCGTTGAGGGGTGAACCACTTAATTGTGCACAAATTGAGCAAATGAGCTCTACCTCTTTCGTGGCCTACATACCCTCCCGCAATTTTCCTTGCAAGGTACTGAATCTTATTCTAAAGAGGATCCCTACGCCACTTTACTTAAACGGGTGGTGCAGCATATAAGACCTTACGTAGAAGAAAATTGAGTTTATAGTAGGCAGAAAATTTATATTTTGCCTCGTGTATAGATGAGACTTTTGCGACCAGTGTGATTCTGTATCGAGAAAGTACAAAAAAAGCCTTTCCAGTTTCGTACCCAATCTGGCATTGATCTCCAGGAACACCATCGCCAGAAAGCTTCTATGTCGAGGAACACAGGCCAGGCTGTTGCTCATGCTACACTGCCTACCACCCTTTTCCCTAAATGGACATTGTATATAAATTATTTGGGAGATCTGCGGAGCACAAACCCCTGCACCCTCGTTGATCTCAGTCCCTGGCTTTATACGCCTCCTTTCAAATTGAGAGCATGTTTTGTTCCTCAGCGAGAATCATCACTACATTGGTGTAGCTCAGTTATGCTTCTATTTGAAAGCAGACTTATGTTTTGAGATTCTCTCTACAAATTAGACTACATCTTATTTGTCTTCAAATATCTGCATGAATATATTCGCAAATGAATTCTGCTATCTTGTGATATTACTGAATATCTTGATAGTTATCTTGTGATATCTGGTGCTGCTCAGTTGAAATACTAAATTTAGGTCTTTAAAAAGTTTCTTTATCAGCAGATGATGCTACTGGAATTGCAACGAAGAGAGAGAGAGAGAGAGAGAGAGAGATTTTGAGAGTAGAGTAGTAGAGTGGAGGAGAGTGGTGGTGTGTCGTGCTGGTTGCTCCTTCACCGAGTCACTCGCTCGCTCGCTCTCCTCAAGCACCATTCATTATACTAAGTTACAGTCTTGCTGTGAGGACAGAAAGACCGACAGACACAGAGAGAGAGTGACAAGTACAATACTCTACGGTACACAACGACATACTCCCTCCCACTCTTCCCTCTCCCTCTCGCCCCCTTTCCTCTCCTCCCTACTCTCCTCCCTCCATCCCTCTTTCCTACCACTGCTGCCGCTGCTGATGTTGCACCCAGCCAACCAGCACTAGTGTGTTGGGTCCCCATCCCCCGTTGGTGCCGTTCAGCCCGTGGGCACCCTTGGCAGCATCATCATCAGCAACAACAACATCAACAACTACGGTAGTAGCAAAACAAGTCGTCGTCGTCGTCTGCGCTCAGTTGCCCATCTGCCACTCCTCTGCTGTCCTCACTCTCTTCTATTCTGCTCCGCTCCTCCTTCGCCACCTTCCCTCCCTCCCTCATAACGTCAGGTCGGGTCGGATCAGGCAGGTCCCGCTCTTGCGCATCCTTTTGTCGTCATTGTTGAAAGCCTTCTTCTTCTTCGGACGCTTCCTCTCTTCCATCCTTCCTGGTGTAATCTAATGACTACAGGGCCTCCATTTTTCTAGATTCCTTTTTCCCCCTTCTCATGTTGCTGTTTGATTCTCCTCCTCCTCCTCCTCACCCCCCTTGTTCGCTGGGAGTGGGTGTCTTGAGAATGAAATACAGTGTGCTGTCCGCAGGGACTGGCTTGCATACGGCGCAGGCACAGGCATGGACGAAGAGGGCGGAGGAGATGAATCTTCGTTCGGCATGGTGCGGGAGGAGAGAGACGACCAGAGATGCTGGAGCGAGCAAGGGCAACCAAACAAACAGACGACCAAGGGCAATCAATCACTCGGCAAACATGCCCTTGCTCGAAATAACTCAAACTGGGCTTTCTTTGGCCAGCTCTTGCTCCATCACCAAACTCTGCTTAGTATGCACAATTTCCCCTCTAGCTCGCAACACAGTACTGCTGCAATACCGCTATCATTTCAACCTGCTAACTTTGCGACCACATTAGATCTGTTTTGCATCTCTCGCCACAATTGCTAGCATCGCATCTGCAATATCCTTTACTTGATTAATCCACTCATCTCCCAACTACTCACTCTTCACTTCGCACATTGATGGGCCACGCCGACACCATACACACCACAACGCCTCTTCTTGCAGCAATGTTGTCCTTCAAAACTTGCTTCCAAATTGGAGATCCAGATTCCCACTACACCGCTAGCCTGAACAGTAAGCTCTCCTTCCTACCTCGGGCTCCGCCACCCCAAACCGCACCTACTGTCTTGGCCCGATCTCGCACTCTTTCCGATCTAGTGCTCGGTCCAACTTCTGGCCATAGTGGACCGTCTTCCAACGGCCGCGCCTCGAAGTACGACGTGTTGTGATTCTTTAAAGACTTGCTCATCATCATCTGACCCTGCACTACTGTGCGAGCCCCCCGCAACAGCCTTCTAATATTCCTGATCCAGATCCGGCCCAAAATGCCCTGTAAGCTTCCTGCGCTGCGCAGCTCTCTCTAGGATAAGTCCATTAGTGGCCTTGCCCTAGTTGCATCGATTAACTTTCATCCAATTCCGTGGATTGCACGTTGGTCTCATGATGACAATGATTTTTTCTCATCCGAAAATTGGATGACTGTTGAAGACTGCTGCCCTTGAAATTGTGAGTCCTTGCAGTCCACCTGGCATTGTCATGTGACGTGGCAGGCATCGTGTTGACGTAGTATAGTCCACGTGGCATTTCAAAAATAAATATAATTCAGAAATGTTAAAAATATAAGATTAGAGGTTAAATTCTAATTTATTGCATACCTTGCATTGTCATCTAACGTGGCATCTTGTAGACATGGCACGATCCACATGGCATAAAAAAAATAGAATTATAATATTTACATTTTAGAAGTTAAATTCTCAATCTGATTGTGATCTATTTGGTGCTGATATGGCACAATGTAATATAAAATATAAAAAATAGAACAAATTAATGAAAATAAGATTCATATTTCAAACATGTGTTATCACAATAGAATGTTGGGGTTTAAAATTACAATTCTAGTGTACATGTTATGAGATTAAAATTTCAGAGTCTAGATTGTATGATTAAAAAAATAAGGTACAAGTTGCAATTTTACATTTTTAAACATATGAGAATATGTTTTAGAATAAAAGTGAATGCATGTGAGGTTTAGAGTTGAGGGCTTAGGGTTTAGATTATAAGGCTTAGGTTTAGGATCTAAGATATATGAGTTAGTATTTAGGATTTAGGATTTGTAAATTTGAAGTCTAAGATTCACATGTATTATATGGGATTTTGGGTTTAGGATTTAGAGTTATAGGATATAAAATATAGGATTTAGGATTTTAGGATTTTAGGATTTAGGATTTAGGGATTTAGGATTTAGGTTTAGGATTACAAGGGTGTATCCAATTTTTAGGCATCAATATTTTTGGATTTTAACTTGACTCACCTACCCATTTATGGTATCTAGGATTTCAATGGTATAGTTATTTTCTTATATATATTCATGGTTTGGGAGATATAGTAACTTTGACTTGGACTTTAGGATTTTGACTTTTTCCATATAAGGATTTTAAATTTTTTTGAAAGGCCCATTGGATCCATTTGGAGATTGCCTATTCTAAATATGTGCTTGAAATTTTCAAAAAGTACATATATTTGTAGATATTAAGTGTTTGACTATTTTGACTTTTGAATTGACTTTATATATGAATAGGAAATTTTAAGTTTTGATTTGATCTACCCTCTTATTTCAAGGATCTAGGAATCTAGTGGTGGACTTGAAATCCTATACATGTTTTTCAATTTTGAGATATAAGACGTTTGACTTGATACAATTTTCTATTGACTTTTTTTGTACTTTATCTTTTTGAAGTTTTAATTTGAACTACCTCCCTATTTATGATGCTTGTGATTCTAATGGTATATTTGAAATCTTGAGAAAATTTATAGTTTAAGAAATATGAGGTTCTTAAAATCACAAAAGTTATCTTTGATTAATATATGAGAAAAAAACTAAAAAAATATATAATAAATACATAGAGGCACCTAGATATAATACTAATACATTAAATAGAATCTATAGGTATATGTTCTTTTTTTTATTTCAAAATATTATATTTATACTACTTTTTGTATATACTACGATTTAGGATTTAGAATTTAGATTTTAGAGGGTTTAGGATTTAGGGTTTAGATTTTAGAAGGTTTAGGATTTAGGGTCATAAGGGTGTGTCCAATTTTTGAGCATCAATATTTTTGGATTTTGACTTCACTTATCTACCCATTTATGGTATGTAGGATTTCAATGGTATAATTATTTTCCTATACAAGTTCATGGTTTGGGAAACATAGTAACTTTGATTTGGACTTTAGGATTTTGACTTTCGCCATACAAGGATTTTTAAATTTTTTAAAAGGCCCATTGGATCCATTTAGGGATTTTCCATTCTAAATATGTACTTGAAATTTTCAAAAAGTACATATATTTTTAGATATTAAGTATTTGACTATTTTGACTTTTGAATTGACTTTGCATATGAATAGAAGTTTTAAAGTTTTGATTTGATATACCTCCATATTATAGAGATCTAAGAATTTAGTAGTGGACTTGAAATCCTTCACATATTTTTTTAATTTTAAAATATATATATTTTTATATTTTTTTTACATATTTTTTTACATATTTTTTACATATTTTACTAAGTAACTTACTTCAATACATTTTTACAATATTTTTTAAAAAGTATGTGGTTTTTTACATATTTTTTTACAACCACCACCTATAAGTAAGAAGTGTTGGAAGTAAGAGTTATCTTACTCCATACTCCCTTTTGTGTATAACCTTGTTGATGCTAAGTGTTGTGACTTCAAAGTGCTTGTTCTTCAATAGGTTATGGACCCACTCACCTTTAGTTGTGAGTTTTGAAGTTCTTTGAAGTCTTTGTTGGTGTTAATAGTAGATCTTATGGTTGTTGCTGATGTTAGGATTTGGTATCTTCTAAATCTCCTTTTGCATCTAATTGTTGATGTAGTTATGCTCTTACTTATTGTTAAGTGCATTCATAATCTTGGAGGTTGTTAGATACCTCAGATTGATGTTTAAGGACACTTTTGTTGTGTTTCTTTACTAAGTTTCATCATTGGTGCTCTAACTTTGTACTTTTATGTATTAATCTCCTTAAGAGACTCACTTATTGTGATATGAGGTGCTTTGTGAGGTTAGAAGTGTTTTATAAAAAAAGAGAGGAGATTAAAAAAAAGCAAAGCTTATTGAAGAGGTTATAAAACTTGTGAGAAGTCTTATAAGTAAAGTTGAGAGTGATTGAAGACTGTAAATAATAGTTTACTCATTAAGAAGGCATTCTAGTTTTTTAAGGCAACATCTTTTTGTTGATTTTGAGAGTTCATTCTTTTTTTTTTTTCTTGATTTTCTTTGATACATCCCTTTCTTAGACATGGCTGCAAGTGATGGTGAGGGTTTGAGAGTAATTGAAAAGTTTAGAGGTGACAACTTCTACCATTGGAAGAAGAAAATGGAACTCTTATTGGCTTCATTAGACCTTTGGGACATTGTTGATGAAAGTGAAGACCCTCCAAGTGACAATGCTGATGTGAAGGTGAAGAAGGAGTACAAACAATGTGAAAGGAAGGCTTTTGGCATGATTACAACAAATCTTGATGATG